AGAGAATCAGGAAGGAACAGAGAACAGGGGAAAGGGGAAAGGAATAGAGGGAAGGGAATATGCATTTATATAATGCCTACTACGTGCCAGGCACTGTGCTAAGCACTTTACAAATATTATCTCCTTTGATCCTCACAATTGTGAGGTAGGTCCTGTTATTATCCCCAGTTTACCACAGAGAGGAAACTAAGGCAAACAGAAGTTAAGTGACTTGCCCAAGGTTACACAGCTATTAAGTGTCTGAAGCTGGATTCAAACTCAGGTCTTCCTATTAACTCCAAGGCTCAGTGCTTTTACACACTGCACCATTTAGATGCCTCATAAGAGACAAAGAAGGAGGAGATTTAAGAAGAGAAACAGAATGGGAAAAGGAACAGACATAGGCAAAACAAACTTTATATTTAAAGGTGGTTTGTAAAAGAGAAAAGAAATGAGTCTAAGAACAGGTAACTGGGGTCTGGGCAAAGTCAAGAGAGGGAAAGTTAAGAATTCCAGCACTTGAGAGTTAGAAAAGATCTCAATAGCTATCTAATGTAATCAAAAGATGGAAAGAATCCCTACACTGACATGCCCAGCACCTGCCTGAAGATCTCCACAACAGGAGTTGGAACAGACCGCTTCAATGACAGATTACTAGTGCTGACAATTTTCTTTTTCTTTCACCACCCTCTTCTTTGGAAGGAGAAATGAAGTAGATGGCAAATGGAGGAAAAGGATTAAGAAGATATAATGGAGAAAATACATAATTGACAATTATAACCATAAATGTGAATGTGTACAATTATAACCATAAAACAAAAGAGGGTATCAGAATGGATCAGAAAGCAAAATACAACAATATATGGTTTAAAAGAAACATCTTTGAAATATAAAAATCTGTAGTGTTAAAATGAGGAACTGGAGCAGAACCTATTAAACTCAAAAAAGCAAGGATAGCGATCAGTCTCAAACACAGCAACAGGAAATATTGACATGGTTAAAAAAGATGAGCAGATTGTGCTTTGTTATCGATAACAAGAGAATCAATGCTTAATATGTGTGTGTGTGTGTGTGTGTGTGTGTGTGTGTGTGTGTATATATATATACATATATATATATATATATATATATATATATATATATATACATATATATATATATATATAGAGAGAGAGAGAGAGAGAGAGAGAGAGAGAGAGAGAGAGAGAGAGAGAGAGAGAGAGAGAGAGAGAGAGGTATATGCCAAATGGTAGCACATCAAAGTACTTAAAGGGAAAGTTCAATGAATTCTAGGATAGGAATAAAAAGCAAAACTATAATCAATGGAAACCCTGCATTGTGCTCCCTTAATCATCAGCCTTTTCTGGATACAATATTGCCAAGACAACCCAGCACAAAGAGAAAGAAAAAAGAAATTCCAAAGCCAGCAGATTAGCACTGGTATAAAAATAGAAAATGACAATTTTTGGAGAGGATTAAGGTAGATACCAATGTACTGTTGGTAGAACTGTGTATTGTTCCAGCCTTTCTAGAAAACAATTTGGAATCCAAAAAGTCACTCAACTGTGCATACCCTTTAACCATGACATCATTACTATGTTTATAGCCCAAAAAGATAAAAGGAAAGAACCCATATGCACAAAAATACTCCTACAAAAACTTTTTGTTGTAGCAAAGAGCAAGTAACTAAGGAGATACTCATGAATCATACAAATGAATCATCACAGATGAAGGTAATGGAATATCACTGTGCCCTAAGACATGACAAAAGAGAGGGATTTAGAGAAACCTGGGAAGACTTTCTTCATGAACTGACATAAAGTGAGCAAAATCAGAATAGTTTATACAACTAAAACATTGTAAAGGAAAATAATGCTGAAAGACTTCAACTCTGATTAGTACAATGACCAGCCCCAACTACAGAATGATAATGACTACATTTCCCACCTCCTGATAGAGATACAGAATGAGAAATACATTTTCTGACATGATCAACGTGGGGATTTGTTTTATCTAACTGTTTATTTGTTACAAGGAACGGTTTTTATTTTGTGGTGGGGAAAGGGAGTAGTGATAGTGATGCAAAAAGAAAGAAGGAAGTTCAGAAAGCAACACAAAAGGACAATTTCGGGTCCACCATATTGAATTTGTTATGTTAACTGTAACGAGCTTTACATGATAGATAGTTTCATGGCTCTTTATTTTCTTCTTTGTACATGAAAATGATTGTGTCTATTGATGTTTATCAATTATATAATTATATATAATATATTATATAATATATAATAATAATAAAATTATTTTTTAAGAAGAGTGGCATGAGGCAGGGGACAGTGTATTTTGGGATAGCTCTCTCCCAAACCTATATGACCTACTGTTTATTTTTAATTACTTTCACTAATTCCCTGGTCTAATTATGGAATGGAATATCTGGTGATATATGTAACCTGAGTTTTACCTCCTGTGTCATAACTGTACAATTATAAGGAGTTGGTAGAGTAGACAAGCCAAAATGTCATGCAAAAATCATAGGCAGAGCAAGAGTAATTTCGCACGTCCTCAGGTTCCATAGAGCCCACAACGGAGAGACTCTGCTAGTACACATTAATAGGATCTACAAGTTGTAGAAATAGCTGGATCTCCATATAAACAGTGGAACTGCTTGAAGCAGCTCGGTGCCATCATGGATAAAACACTAGGCTTGGAATCAAGAAGATCTAAGTTTGAATCCTGCTATGTGACCCTGGCCAAGTCACTTAATCTCTGCCTTTTTTTTTTCTCTCATCTGTAAAACGAGGATAATAATAGTATCAACCTCACAGGGATGTTGCAAGGGAAAAAATGAGATCCATACAGACATACATGCACACACATACACACATATACAGAAAGAGAAAGAGAGAGACAGAGTCAGAGAGAGGAGGAAAGAGATAGAGAGAGGAGGAAAGAGATAGAGAGAGAGAGACAGGGAGAGAGACAGAACTTTGTGAACCATAAATGTTAATTAGGAGCATGAGCTAAGTCAGTCACATTCAACATACAGTTAGTACTATCAGAAAATGTTCTCTATAGGAAAAGTAACAGTCTGTTGCTTTGGCTAAGCTTTCCTCAGTCACAAAACTCGATTCTCAAAATCAGGTTTTAGACTGGATGCTCCTAGGGGCTCTCATTCTGCTCTAAAATTTTAAGAAAAGGCAAAAAATTACTGTGAGTCAGGTAGCTTAGGAAAAACTCATTTTTCTATCTTTAAATACAAAGCTTAACCAAATATGTGTATACCACTGTACCAAAAAATTAGGTTGGGACATTTGAAGGAAACAAACGATTGGTACTAGAGAGACTAATGAGGTAGGAAGCCATAAAAAGAGAAACATTTCAACAATCTAGGTCACAGTTGGACCCGACAGGTGGTAGGGTGGAGAAGAAATGACATAACAAACTCAGACTTAGATAGCAATGAATCGCCTCTGGCAAATATCCAAGGGCAGAAGAAGCAGTCAGAACAGCAGAGTAAGCATGCAGTGTCCCATCACATGGTTATCTGGCTTCCTCCAGAAGCACCATGACTCTTGCTTAAATCATATCTTCTTAGAAGTTTTCAATTCCTGTTTTACTGTTAAACAAGTGAAACAAAACAGTTTATTTCTTGTAATCAAAGCCCAAGGGAGGTAGGATGAGAGAGAAGGAGACGCATATACCCTCTTTTATACAGAATCTTGTGTGAGGGGAGAAGGTTAATGAACCAGATGAAATCCCAGGTCTGACAGGAAATGGAATTAGAACCACAAAGCCAAGGATGCAGTCAGCAACTTTAGAAAAGTCCAGATGCACCGGGTTTATTAAAACTGAAGACAAGTAGAGAAAGAGGAAAAAGGACCCAAAACAGATGGACAGCTCTTTACTGAGTCAATAAAACCCGATGCTTATTTCATATCTGACATTCTGTTTTCATTAATTCCAATAAATTTTTAAGCTTCCAAAAGGCCAAAAGATCTCAAATATAAAATGGAAAAGTACAGAAAGCTCTTGTATGTAACTTTAGAACATAATTTTATACCATTACTTCTAGATATGCAATAACCACTCATTAGAACAAGGACCACACATCTTATTTTTTTCCCCCCTTCAATCTGGGGAAAAAAAGAGTCAGTATTTGGGATGCATGCTTCCATTTCCCTGCTTCTGTTTGCATAATTTTGTGAGACCTCTAAGTAGGTCATTTAAAATGCATCAAGTAATTAAGGTCCAGTTCATAATGAATCAGTCCGTAGCTATACCATCATTACTATAGAATTTATGGTCCTCCTCTGCCTGTTTCAACCTCTATTCATAATCTCAACAGTTCTCCATGTTGAACTCCTTCAGTGAAAAATGGATGGCTATGAATTTCATGCACTCAGGCCAGGTTACAGATCTTGTATTCCTACTGTTTTCACCCTTGAGTTCAATAGTCAGGACACAGTGATCTTTTCCTTATCAATTACTTCAACCTCAGGGTTCCGGTGATAACTGGGCCCACATCTGAATGAGTGCCTCTGACTTTGCTTGCGACTACGATGTCAGTCGGTGACAAGTCTCTGGAAGAGACTGGTTTAGAACTCCTCCCCTGTGCAATCAGGGATGGAAAAAAAGAAGGGAGGCTCACCAAAAAGAAGAGCAAAGCAAAAAAGGAGGAGTCAATAGAAAACAGAAGAAAGCACATACTACTACCAGCCAAAGCTCCTTGGAAGAATTCCCAGTGTATCTCTGCCAGTGAGTTCTGGAATACATTCGCTAGACCAATATTTCTGCAGACCATAAAAGGCATTTTTTGGTCACAGTTTGATGCAGACCCCATTATGTAGCTCTAACTACTCTTACCCCACACAGATATTTCGTCATCTCTAAATGAGGTCCCAACTCAGCTCTTCATTGCCCTCTTAGTAGCATCTTTATATCCAACACCCACCATATACCCACCGTGCCCTCCCTGCTCCAGAATCTTATCACAGTTCACCATTAGACTTTTTGAATCTCCTTACCAAAACAACTGCTGCGGTGAGGAACAAAGGTTTTACAAGCAGTAGCAATAGCTAGTTCAGCAGAGATAATAGTCTTAATGATCAGATCCTCTACATGGGCCATCAGAGCTGCAAAATAAACAAAAAACCATGAAGAAGGAAATACAAAGTTGCATGTACTGCACCCTAGATTGTATTCATGAAAGGATATGTGCCCAAGTCCAAAAATGTCCAGATTCTGTTTGAATGGGTAGCTTTCAGTAAATATATATAGTGCAGGGGGAAGGAGTAATCTCTAGTCATCCTGATCTATATCTTGCTACTGGACCCAGATGGCTCTGGAGGAGAAAGAAAGGCTGGTGACTTTGCACAGCCCTCCCTCACTTAAATCCAATTCACTTGCAAGCTATGGCATCACCTTCCTGATGTCATGGTCCTCTTCGAGAACAAAGAATGAACAACAATATAGCCCAGGATATCAATATTGCACGTGTGTGTAAATGAAGAGAGGTGTCTATTTAAGAAAAAAGCATTCTTATTGTAGAAATGATGCCTATTTTCCCCTTAAATTCACACAGAAATACAGAATCTCAAGAGTTGGAAAGGGCCTAAGGATATAGCTAATCCAACTCAAACCTGAGTAAGAATTCCTTCTACAGTATACCTGAGAAGTGTTCTCCTCTTTTCTTGATGATTTCTTCAGATGAGAAGGAATTCACTACTACCACACAAAGCAGCAATTTTTCCTTAGATCAAAGTTAAATATGCCTATGTAACTTCTACCTCTTACTTCCTTTACAGCCAAGCAAAACAGATATAACCCTCTTTCATATGACAGCCTTTCAAACACTTGGAAACAAGTATTTCTTTACTATGAGTCTTTTTCCTGGTAGACTAAGAATACTCCTTTAGCAAAATTGTGTTTTCACGTTGCTTAGAGATCATCAGCCTTATCCATTTCAATGCCCTTGACAATATACTCATTGTCTATGCTTAATGCCAAATTGATCAGATGCCAACATGAAAGAGGGAGATCTGCTTAAAAGAACTTGAACTTCAGGCTTCTTTAGGGAAAAATAGATAAAATTTGTCAAATGAAGTGAAATTGCTTCCACCAATGATTCAAGGGCCAATAAAGTTTTATACTTTTGTCCAGGAAGCAAATGAAAGGGATTATCCCCAAGAGTCAGAAATAACTATTGTTTCCTTTCTGAAGCAGTAGGAAAAAGTACCCAACACCAACACTCATTATCCTGTCTGACAGCTTAGTATCACAAAGCCAATGATGGTGACTCCTAGCAGGAGACAAATGCCACTTTATTCTATCATTTCACTGGGAAGAAACAAAAGGGAGAAAGGCGTGGCTACTCACCAGTTGTGTCTTTCCCTTCTTGTTTCAGGTACCTAAGCATCGCACTCATGCTCCATTTGTTTCCATAATCTTCCACTTCGGGATCATCACAACTAAAAACAAATCGAGGAGCCAGGGGTCACACGTGACTTCAGGCTTTTTTGTCTTAAAGAATAAGATTCCTTTTGTTCACATAAACTCCTCAGGAAATATATCTTCTCCCTTCTCTCTCTCTCCTGCTATCCACTCTATTGTCCTGTTTCCTTCATCATATTAACATGAATGGAAATCAAAAGTTACACACTTTCCATATTCTGTTGGTGGTAAGAAAAAAAGCTAATTTTGTCACATCCAAATAATAGTGCTAGTCACTAGAGGGAAAATGATAATTCAAAAATCCAAAATAATCTAAGAAAGGTTTAAAGAAATTTATGCATGGTACATAGATAGGAAAATTTGGGGATCTGCCTGTAATCTTTGAGGAAAATTTTGTGCTTTCCCACAAAACATCCCTAGTGCTGCTGTCAGAGGAAAATAGGTTGGATGAGGTAAGGTTATAACCAAATACATTCATGCTTTTGCACCTGATATAAGCTCTTTATTTTCCCTTATGCCTTTCCCAGTTTTTGGTGTTAGTTAACAGGCTCACACCAGGGCATCAGTAAGCTTCACAAACGACACTACTATTACAAAGAAAAGAGGCAGCATGGCATCATGGATAGACAGCCAACCTTGGAGCAAGGAAAACCTGAACTCTAGTCCTTCCTCTGGCACCATACTGGCTCTGTGAGCCTGGGCAAGTACCTTCACCTCTCCAGGCCCTGAAGCTGCAGAGAAGATGCTGATCTGCATGGATAGAGACAGTTTCCTCATCAGGGAGTTCCCTACACCAGTGGTATTGAACTCTACAGGGGCCACAAAACCACACATAAAGATCCCTGAGGGCTACAGATTAACTTAGAAAACCACATTTTAACATTACTGTGTTTTACTGCATTTTTTATTTATCTGTTTTTCTGTTAAATGTACTTTAATCTGGATTGGACCGCACTCAGGAGTGTTATGGGTTGCCTGTTTACCACCTCTGTCCAACATCAATGAACTCACAGGTCCCATCCTTACCCAACATTATAAGTAAAGATATGCCATGACTGGAATAGAATCCCAACATTCAAAACGCAACAAATATTTATAAGTGACTATTATGTATATGGCTCTGTGCTATGGGTTGGAGGTCCCAAGAATGTTGAAAGTCTCACAGTTTGCTGTGTGGGGGGAAAATAGGTGTTTTATGTCACATCAAGCCGTTTCCCCATCACCTACCACATCTCCATTCACACTGGTAACCTTCCAAAATGAAGGATTTGATTTCTTTAACCATCCCAAACCCTAGTGAAGGGAAGTTCAATTAAACCTATAAAATTCTAGCTCCTATTCCAATGCCTTCAGATTCCTGGTTTCTTTCTTTCTTGGACCTGCTATGAATCTATTTTTAGTCTGAGCAAAAAGTCACTATTTGGGTTTCTTTTTTATTTTTCCATTTTCTGGCTAAATTGTTGAGTACGAAAGAAAAACAGAACAGAGAAAGTGTTTCCAAGAAAAGGGCCGGTCCTCCATTCCACTGAGTCCTCTTCCAAGATGGCCTCATTTCTTGCTTTCCAAAAGGCAATATCCCCCAGTGATCTTTACTGTAACTATTACCCTTACCTTAGAAAATGAGGAAGTACAGAAAGGTGAAGAAAGGTTTTTAACAAGGAAGGATGCATTGTGGCTGTGCCAGAAATGAAAAAAGCAGCTCCAAGCCTATCCTCTGCCACCCGCCAGCAATAGGGAATTTCAAACACACCTACTAAACATGGATGTGAAGTTCACTTCCCTAGAAATGCAAACGCTTTCATCAGCATTCATCTGCGAGGAGCTGACAGGCGGCGGTGCTGAGCTCGCCTGCGCCTCTGCCTCCCCTTCCCCCTGCTCTGGGTTCTGTGGCCACCAATCCTACCTGACATAGTCGCCACTCTTCTTGTTCACACTGTAGTTGGTCAGGTGCATGAACTGGTTCCGTATATTCTTAGCTCCTTGATCATATCGCACAGTTGCAAACCTAAGAGCAGGATCCAAAATGAAAGGCTAGAAGAGTTTCCCCCTTCAGATTAGAGGGAATATACAGGTGAGAATTAAGGAACCAAATAAGACAAAGTGGCAAAAAGGCAGTATCAATTTGGTGTCTGGGCTCAGAAAAAGAGCCGGGCAGGAGAACAGGACCCACTGGTGTACTGTGGGTATGTGACATCCTGCTGTTAGTACTTGATAAAGTGAGCAATGAAGAGCCAGGGCTGAGGTATGAGTCTTGGAACTGAGGCTCACAGCAGTTATGAGGCGAGTGAGCACAAGCAAGGAAAATCATACTGTTTATGCAAGAAGAGAAGAGCGACAGCAACAATGCAGGAGATGGATGGCATGGTGCAGTAAACTAATCTCTGGACTTGAAAGGAAGATAAAGAATAAGGACCAAAACATAGAATCCAGTCACAAAATGTATGTGTGTGTGTGTGTGTGTGCGTGCATATATAACAGTATAGATGTGTGCACATACATGTGTTTATATGTGTGCACACATGTGTATACGCACACATATGTATATGCGCACACATATATATATGTTTATACATAAACACAGGTATGTCTATCTACTTTTATATATAAACATATGTGTGTATATGTGTATACTTTTATATATAAACTTTACATATATGTGTATTCACATATATTTTATTGTAATCTTATATATACATAGATAGATTGATGCTCATAGAAATAATGGAGCAGGTGAGCACAAAGCAAGGAGAATTACACTGTTTATGTAGGAAGACTGACAGCAATATGTAGGCATATATTTATACTTATATGTTGGAAATTTGATAGAGTAGACTAAAATCAAAAGAATGGAGGAGCACTAAAGATGCATACCCATGGAGTTATTCTGAATGAGGTAAGACAGTATATAGGTCAAGATTTCCAATGAGATTCAATATCAACAAAATGTCACTTAGGTGGATTACTTAATTACAAATTTCTGCTCACACACCTTTGGAACTACATCACAATCCTTCACTACAGCATTTTTCTGAAACACTATCCAATTCTGTGAAAATAGGCAGGAGGGTCATGTAATTTACAAATTAATTTTCATATGTTTGCACAGACTATGAAAACAAAATTTATTACTATGATACCTAAGGATATCATTTTAAATTTTCTTCTTCCCTTCTTCTTCTCAACCACCCACTACTTTCACAAATGCAATACCAGAAATGTATAGCAGCTCAGAGAGAGCAAGGAAAGAAATTTCTATCAAGCAGGAATGGTTAGGAGCCCAGAGTTTAGAGAACTTTATTATCTTGTTAATAAACTACCTATTCAAATAATACTCTATATTCAAAAAGGACCACAGACTTTCAGAAACTTCTAGTTATATTATTACTTCCAATCATTTTACTTTGTGCTGAGTAAGCTTTGTCTATACATCTTAACATTCCTTCAACAGACTCTTTCCTGTTCTAGGGTAGTCAATGAATTATGTTCTTGTTAAATGCAAGAAGGCCCACCTTGGCCCCACAAAGGCTGCAGAGCCATTACCTCACAGTAACATACCAAATGCCACCCTCTCCCCTGGAACAAGAATGGGTTAAAAAAAAGATAAAATATTTTAGAAAATATTGTGAATTGTACTAGTATATCTACCTTGGTCAACAAATTGGGATTAGTGAATTGTAAGCTCAACTTGAGTCAGCAGTATGACATGATAGTCAACAAAGTGAATGAAATCTTGGACTAAACTGAGAGGCATGGAGACCAGAAATAAGGAAGTGACAGTTCCACTACACTCTGTCCTAGTGAAATCGTATCTTGAGTACAATGTTCAGTTTCGGGTACCACATTTTAAGAAGGGAAATAAGAAGCTAGTGAATATCCAGGGTACAGCAACCAGGATAGGAAAGGCCTAAAGTTCACGTCACATAATGATGGAGTGAAGGAAATAAGACTTAAGGGAAACATTGAGATTGTTGTTCTCGTTGATTTGTTTCAGTCATATCCGACTCTTCATGTTGCTTAGCAAAGATATCAGAGTACTTTGCCATTTCCTTCTTCAGCTCATTTTACAGATGAAACTGAAGCAAACAGGGTTAAGCAACTTGCCTAGGGTTACACAGCTAATAAGTGTTTGAGGCCAGATTTGAACTCAGGAAGATGAGTCTTCCTGACTCCATGACCAACACTCTGTCCACTGCTCCACCTAGCTGCCCAGGTATTGGGATCGTATTTAATGAGCTATATAACATGTAAGAGGAATCTGACCTGCTCTGGCTTAGCCTCTGGAGGCAAAACAATGAGTCATGGGTAGAAGGGACACTGAGGCAAATTTAGTTTTGATGGAAAGAAGACACTCCTAACAATTAGAGCTACTCCAAAGTGGAATGGTCTAATTCAGAAATCAGTGTTCCACTTAATGGAAGGCTTCCAACAAAAGATTGATGGCCTCTTGTCATGGGCTTTGCAGATAGGATTTGGGTTGAGCTAGCTGATGACTGAGGTCTAGCCCCCCATCAAAGCTCTCTGGTAGCCAACACATCTCTCTGGAGCTCCAATAATCCTTTTTGCACAAGGTCTGACATGTACATAGAAACAGATTCCCTTGACTCTATACCTCATCCATTGACTAAAACTATATACTCTTAATGCATTTCAAAATAAAGCTGCATGAAAAAATCATTCAAGATGCAAAAGTTCTTTGCTGGGGATACAAGGTAGAGAGAAGATAAGAAGAATGAGTCAAGGAAGACATCTAATGACAGAATTCAGAGGAAAAAGAAAAATAATGGAAAATAAATTTAGCTGAATGGCAAAGAAGAACACAGTAGAGGCTACATGGAAGCCAGGCAAAAGAAATAAGCATTTATATAGTACCTACCGTGTGCCAGGCACTATGCTAAGCACTCTTTAAAAAAAATATTCTCTCATCTGAGAGATAAGAAGACAAAAACTGGCGAAAAGCTTGTGTGTGGTTGAAGGGAAGAGTATATTATAACTTTCAGCTTACCAATAGAACCAGATAACTTTACAATCACATTAAATTAAGCAAGTTCTTTTCAGTTCACTTGCCTCTCATTTTTGTCCCTTTCCTTTAAACTAAGCTTTCATATCACATCAGATTCCATAATACTTCAGTCTAAATACTTCAAGATTTTTACCTGATACTTTGATAGATCTATTATAGTTAAGTCTAAATACTTCAGGGCAGCTAGGTGGTGCAGCGGAAAGACTGCCAGGCCTAGAGTCAGGAAGACTCATCTTTCTGAGCTCAAATTCAGCCTCAGACACTTACTAGCTGTTTGACCCTGGGCAAGTCACTTAAATCTGTCTGCCTCAGTTCTTCATCTGTAAAATGAGCTGGAGAAGGAAATAGAAAATCTGTATCTTTGCCAAGAAAACCCTGACTGGGATCACAAAGAGTAGGACATGACTGAACTGATCAAACAACAAACTAAATACTTCAAAACAAATTCGTTATTAGCACCCCCAAAACGATACAACCCCACTAAGCACCTCAAGATTGAAGTTGACCAGGACTTGTTGGAAAGTAAATTGAAATTTAGATGATAAATTGAATCCTCAAGCTGTATCAGAAGATGATCAAGGACAAAAAAACAAAACAAAACAAAACAGGAGGGTTGACTGAGGGCTTTGCAATTTACCTTAAAGGGAATTTTTGTAGTATATTTTACACAATGAAAAATTCTGTGGAATATATTTATTCTCCGACAAAAATTTCTTATACCAAAGGTTCTACCTCCATTTTAGTTATGTATCAAAGATCTTTGTTTCCAAATTCACTGGGAGAATCATGCTAGGGTTGTTAATTTACTATGTTAAGCTTCTGAGAGAAAGAGACAGAGAGAATGTGTGTACTTAATTCATTATAAAGTAGATGTGGAAAATGGTCTAAGACGAGGATATGACATAAAGAATAGAATCAATGAACATTCAGTAGTGCCTTTAAGTAATGATAGATTGTTTATTCTATGTCTTTATCCTTTTATAAATATGGAACCAAAGAGAAGGAAGTTAATTGGATAATTAAGACCCAATTCAGTCACTATAAGGTAGCAAAGCAATGCAGCACTTTATGTGAAGTCAGGAAGACCTGAACTCAAATCTCGCCCGAGACCCTTACTAGCTGTGTGACCCTGGACAAATCACTTAACTTTAGTTTGCACTCAGTTTCTTCACCTGTAAAATGGGTATTATAATAATAGCACCTACCTGCCACGGTTGTTGTGAGAAAAAAAAACAGAGGAATATTTGTAAAGCACTTTGCAAACTTTAAAATACTACGTAAATGTTAGCTATTACTACTCTGAAGGCATGGGCAAAATGGCCAGGATAGACACAGACCACATTTTTGATGATCTATAAAGTATTCAACAAACAACCATTCATTAAATCCCTACTATGTTATCTTTGGGAAGCATGAGACTGGATACTATACTGCAGACAGAGAGATGAAAACAACAATCTCTGCCTTCAAGGAGTTTATAATCAGAGAATCTTCTATGAATGACATGAAAGCAGAGGACTGATGGGGAGACCGTGGCAACCACACACACACACACACACACACACACACACACACACACACACACACACACACACGGCATCAGTGGCTGTCGTGACTCCAAGCCCAGGCCTTGGGAGGTGAGGAGACAGCGAATCAAACTGCCTTGCCAGAAGCCACTGGGTTTCATCTTGGCCTGACCCAGACAAACCCTATTGGAAGGGAACAAGAGGCCCAAGGACTCTCTGATCTTCTGTTAGCCAGCTGCAGCAGGGAGCCTGCCAAAGTGCTACAGTGAGTAGGGAGCGCCCTACAGAGACGTCTGGGGAAGGGATTACCAGGCTGATCCTCGGCCTCCAGAGCCAGGAACGGTTCAAGGTCCACAAACAGCAAGGCCCTGCCAGCCAGGGGGGACAGCAAGCATTGGGGGACTTCCCCCCCTTGTTGTTGCTGTCTCTTCCCTTTCTCTGACTGGGGTATTAGACTCT